GACCTCCGATCACTCCCAGGCAATAAGAAAAAGTCATAAGAAAAAGAACACACGCGCACAAAAAAAAAAAAGTTTTGAAATAGATAAAAGTTAAGATGACTTTTCCTTTGAATTTCGACTCTGTTCCACACGGACCATCTGTTAGCTGGAGTTCCTGTTTTTTTCCCCTCCTCCGACGCCTTTTACTGGGGCTTCCTGCTCCACGACGCTTCTGGACGGATGAGAACGTTAAAAAACGAGAGAGGCTTAAAATAATTGCGTGCGTTGGCCGACTCGACGAGAGGAGGACGGGTGGGAGGGTGAAATAAAAGCTGCTTTTTCGGTCTGAAAATAGCTGAAACGCACAGACGGAAACCAAATTGATTCGGTTTGAGTGCCCCCCCTCCTGCAGAAAGGCCATATCAAATGAATTTTCTTTCATCGGACATTCTTAAAATGTTCCTCCGATGGAGGCGCCGGCCTTGAGGAGCCAGCGGAGCGAGACGTTCTCAAAAATGCTAAAGAGCAGAGTCAGTAAGCTGGAATGCGATTGATTTTTGCTGTCCTTTTATTTGGAGACTTCCTCCTAATCGATCCACTTTTGTGTGCCCACACTTCGGTGGGAGGTTCGGGGGCTCCGGGCTCCAAACCGGAGCCGACCGGTTTCGGGGGCCTCTGTGTTCGAACCTGTTTTCCTCCATTTTTTAAATTTTTTTTTTTGAGAGTGGAGTTCGTACCTGTGTGTTGAGCGTTGTTTGTGTTTACTGCTTCCTTTGGCCGGCCTTGCCCTGCCAAAGCCTTAATTATAAATTCCTCAAACGCTGGAAATATTTTCCACAAAAATTTGCCGTGTTGTTGGGCACATTCTGGTGGAGAGAAAAGGCCAAAGAGAGACATTTTTAATGGAATCAAGGAGGTATATATAATTTTTTATTTTTAATGAGTAGATATTAAAAACCCTTGAGTTGGAGCTCTGGGGTTGTTTCTTACTTCCTGGTTTTATTTTTCGTTGCACCACTTCCTCCACATTCTGCTCACGTTCCAGCCCTTAACTCATTGACTGGCAGCCATTTTCAGAACAGAGTCCCATACTGCCAGAGTTTTTGGAGCATTTTGACTGATTTTTCAAGAGCCACAGAATAGTTTGTGCTATGACTATGTAAACACCGAACACACCAAAAGAAAGAGTAGACTCTCTTCTTTCATCAGGAAAATTTTTTTGTTTCTACCTTATTCTGTTCTTCCTCGACTTGCGTCTCACCGGCGACATGTTCTCTCATATCGAACCGTTACCTTTTTCTTATTTGCCTACAGTCTATGCTCATCTCCCATCAAAAGTGGCACTGCCCCCTAGAGGGTCAATTTGTTACTACATACTCTGTCTAGAAGCCTGATATTTTCGGACAACCTTTAGCAGATCGTCCCCCAAGCCACTCGCGTTGAAAAACATAAAAG